CTTGGAGATTCTTGATAGATAAATAGATCGATAAACGTTACAAATTTGAAACATCCGATAGGACAATGAACAGGTTGAGATGATTGCATATATGAACAAACTAGGTAGCAGTTAGTTTTTTTTTTAATCAATTCATAGATGCAAGGCGATAATAGATAAGACGATAGAATCCTGAAGTTTTAAGAGAAGGAAACTGAAAACTCAATCAAACAGGAAACAAGGGATAAAACTCTACTCCTGTTGCAAAACACACTGGGAGGATGAACCAGGCGATCAAATGTTCAAACCTCCATTAAAACGCAAAGCGACTACTGGAAGTGAAAAGAAGGAAAATACTGTTCTTCAAACTAAATAAATCCTACACAGAAAACAAGATATAAACTTACCCCTGGATTGTTCTGTTTCGGGAGGAGCTAACCGGACGATAAAATGGTCTAAATATCTCATGACGACATAACACTCAAAATGGTTTTTAAAGGCTATGGACGATGATGTTTGAGATATATATATTATGTATATCCTATAATTTGGATGTTCATTACGGAGAATATATTGCATGTTGGACGACGCTAGCAAAAGTAATACAAATGAACAGCTATGTACATTTAAACCAGGTTCCGGACGGCTAAGTCTGTATCGACGGTCATCAAGGCTAGACGTATTCAAGAGCAGCAATAACAGACCTCATGTGTTTGTTCAACAGCCAGAACAGTGCACATATGACCGGGGATTGTCAACAAGACTGCTGGGATCCGACATGAAGTCCGAAAATCTGAGAGACTTTCTATTATCATTATTAGCATTTTTATTAACAATTATTATTCCGACCATGATAACTTCATACCACTTCATCTAAATGCCCGCCCACATAATACCTCTGGTACTGTAACATGCTCTGCCGAATGATGTTAGAACCTTTTTAAACACGATGCGAGTTTTTTCTCCCCTCCCCATTGAATAAACATAGGATAAGAAGTCCCCTGATGGGACGACGCCCTGACTCATTCATTTAGCCCCCCTACATCTCCTGCTGTAGAACATTAACAGGTGCAAGAGGCGTGAAATAATGTTTCGAGAATGATAGTCCGTCTAAAGGATCGTAAAATGCAAGAGCAACACTGTGTCAACACCAAAGAGTGTATTAATATGGGATCGGGGTACTTAAAATTCAAAGAGCAAATTTTTGAAACCTGTAATAACGTATTGATCTGTATATATCAGCAGTCGGCAAATACTTTTTTGTTATTATACCATCACAACTTCTCAATATGCTGTTTCTCCGAAATTGTATATACATGCATCTAACACTACCTGAAATAGATTGTAATTTATATTGCTTTGAAAATAAGAATAGGAACTTATTATGATTTTATACAGAAGCACACACATCATAACCAGGACAGTTAGTAAGGCGTTACAAATGAAACAAAACAGTAACTATGAAAATATAACGTGAAGCATTAAAAAAAATAACATGATCGGACTTCCGAACCTCGTTTTGAGGCAAATTTTCGGGTTAATTAACAGCAGGATAACAAGCTAAGATGCGATTTCATCCAGGCAAAATCAGGTTAACCCTTCATTACCCTCAAAATCTCGATTTTACTCTATCTAGGGCCCTTGCCCCAACAAATTAACAGAGTCAGTTCTTATCAGAACAATCTATATTATGTATACGCTTATGAGTACTGTTAGTAAAGTAAATTGGAGTTCTGTGCTTTTTTCACTGTTGAGTAAATTGAGGCAATATTTGTTTCACATATACACAAACATATATGTGTGTGTGTAACATGTCGTTCTGTTTAAATGAAAGATTATATGAACAGAAAAGGATCTTTTACAAAACAACACACCCATTAACTGCTCACTACTATGAGTCTGACCAGAATTTTGATTTTAAAGAATGGCTCAAATTCAAAGAGAAAACAATTTATAAACGAAAATGGATACAAAAATTTTTTTAATTGCTAGATCAACCAGAGTAAATTTAAATCTAGTTTCTTGCAACATTTTTTTTTTCTTGGTGGGCCTTCTTTAATAGTGATGAGGAAGATGAACAAAAAGTAAAAGGTGAAATTAAATTTTGCAGATTATATATTGGCTACACAGCATGGATATATATATATATATATATATATATATATATATATATATATATATATATATATATATATATATATATATATATATATATATATATATATATATATATATATTTATATATATATATATACAGTCTAAGGTACTCATCCAATGGTTAGCAATGAAAGCTATTTAAAACAATCACGACTGAGTAGTGAGTTCGATCTCACTGGTGCCCACTAATTTCGGCCTTGTGCTACATCTAAGTTACCTTGAAAATCACTATATATATATATGCTAATGTCAGTGTGTCACACTCTTTTCAATTTTACTCCTAGAGGCCGTAGCCCAGTATACCATATCATTTTTGAAATAAACCGACCTGCAAAACAAATTAAAACATTCCGGGGCTGTTTCGGACACGCAATCCCTGAGATTTTAGATTTCCAAGTTTTCATTACTGCTGTTGTTTAACTACAATACAAAAACATATTAAAAAAAATAATAATTAAATTTAAAATTCAGCGTCCCCTCTCCTTCGTGCCCATTTGTTGTAGTCGCATCAGCGTAAACATCACTTTAGTCCGATGACGTCCTAAAAAACGAAATGTGTCACACGAAAAATCTTTTCCAGTTTGTCACAGTTTTTTTCCCTTTTCTTTTGTTCTTCTCTCATAGAAAAATAAACAATTCCTCCCCCTCTCTCTATCCTTATTGTAGTCTCTCTTATCACAGTTCAATTTATAATGTCTTCTCTTGTTTTAAACAAACAGCAAAAAACTAGGCTAACACTTGAACGCAATGTACGGGCATTTGAACTTCAGTTTCGACAAATACAAAATAAATGAACAACTGTGTGTCCTCAAACATAGACTTAGAAAGTAGTTTTGACGAAATTGGCAGTTTATCGGATCTTCGCAACGTACTTGTCTTGGATTACCGTTTTATTTGATAGGACTTTACAAGAAGCTTTAAATTTTAAACCGGATCTGATCATTCGACATAGAATTTTAAGAAATACTTTTTAATTCATACATTCAACTCACCATAGTGCCATAATGTCCATACTGAAATTTTCACATAGGCGGTCATATTCATTGTAGCTCTTTAAACCATTCTTTTGTTTTTAGTTCCGCCATATTTCCTGCCTGATTTTATGTCTGTCCCGTGCACCTACAAAGAACCATGACATAGGTGATCATCATTTCCTAAACTTTCTCTCCTTGTAGTTTTTAGTTTCATTTGTATTTATTATTTCATGATATATACATTCATTGTCCAATTTATTTAGTTAAGATGATTTAATGTTATATTTTTTTTTTCCCCTTTTCCCTTTTTTTTTTTCCATTTACACACACATTGCAAGCAAAGTTCTCTGTATATAATCAACTGAATTCCTGGTGTTAGAAGATTTGCTATCGTGTTAGTCTTCGTCTGCGAAGGATTTTTAATATTTAAGAACTTCTAGAACCTCATTATATTGATTGACATATTTGAAGGATTTGAATAGTTTTCATTATAGCTTTTAAACAGGAACTTCAGTGGAAGGGAGTTCCATTCAGGGCGTTTAGATATGAAGCATGGTTTCCACAATTTCCTGTCTTTTGTAGCTTTTACAGTGAAAGGGTGAGGAGCGGGATGCTAGCCTCGGCGGGTGCTTAACCTCATGAAGTCTGGGAACCAGCGAAAGCAGCTCATCGGAGCAGTTACTATGAAATTATTTGTAAAAAAGACAGAGGGAGGCGACGACGCATCTGTGAGAGAGAGCGACTGTAGATGAGATGCCAGATCAGGGCCAATTATGTTGCATATCCGTCTCTGGATCTTATCAAGAACCCGAGGCAAACAGAAGGGCTCCAGACCATATATGGCAACAATACTCAATGCAAGGGCGAATGGTTGATTTGTAGATTTGGATATTCTAGGTTTGTCTATTTTTGTTGCGCGCCTTCATCTACATTCGTGTTTAGTATTGGACCCCAAATAAAATTAAAAATAAATAAGTCAATAAATAATAAACAAATTTGAATGCTGATTTTAGTCAAGAAGTCTTTCCATATTTGGAAGATTGGCACAACATTCTTTCTAGTTCTATTTAGCTTTTACTGTACCAAGTTTATTAAATAATCCAACTGTTTTGGAAGAGAGTCTGTCTGGATTAAAATTGTCGTTAAAAGTCAATTTTTAACCAGTGGCACCAGACGACCGCAGGTGAGAGATCAATGAAAGTTTCCAGTTAAAGATCTGCCTTTTCAACATTGTTCCATGTGTAATTTAAAAAAAAAAATATTGGAAAATCAGTTGCATTCATCTAATTAGAAATAACGAAGATGATTAAATCGGGAAATACCTGAGTTCGTTTAATGTAGCATGGAAACAGGTGAACGACACTTCAATTCACGGGCATCAAACACACTTTTCTGTTTTTAGCGACTCTCTTCCTAATACCACAACCATCATTTGCAGAAATATCTAATATTTCTTCATCAAACGATTTTTATTACGATAAGACTAGTGTCAGAGCAAATCAGTTAAGCAAGAGTTGTAGACACATTTCACTATTATGCAGCTATAGTCGGGCAAAATAGTCGGATGGCAAATAAAAGCCTTTCAAAAATCATTTCTATACATTTATGGGCCCAATTTCTGAATAAATGATATGATTAAATAAAGCACTTGCAAAAAAAAAACAAAAAAATAAAAATCCAAAAATAAATAAAAAAAACAAACAAAAGTCAATATTTTTGTCCTATAATCCCCCTAGAACAGAACTTTTATAAAATGACGTCCATGTTTCCTGAATTTAAAATTAGTGTACAGTCGGAATGGTTATCTAGCAGAATATCTAATCTGATTCTAAACGGATGCAGGTGCTTGTTTTTTGTACAAAATTGTTATCTTGAGATGGAGAAATTGGCATGCACCCATTCTTTTTCTCTCATAAACAACACCAGTTACCCACCCGCAAAATCGTATTAATGATTCAGGTGTTTGTTGAAGAAATTGGGTTCAAGGAAAGATATTTTAATCTGAAAATACGGTGAAGAAGCCTACGTGTAAATTGAAAAAAAAAGGTCTTATTGCAAATTTTCCTGACAAGGATGGATCCCACTGGGTCTGACATAAGTCTGGTTATAGATACAGATCTACATATTTATCTCAGTCTGTTTATATCTGTCTATGTTTAAGTATCTATTGATCTATCTTTATCTATCTATCTCAAAAAGTTTTTTCAATCTATCTATCTATCTATCTAATCTATCTATCTCCTTTTCCCACTATCTATCTATTCTATCTGGATATCTTCTATCTCCTTTTCCTATCTATCTATTCTCTCCTTTCCTATCTATCTATCTATCTCCTTTTCCATCTATCTATTTATCTATCTCCTTCCCATAAATTCTATCTATCTATCTATATCTAATATCTTATTTTTTCATATCTATCTTTCATTCTATCCCCCTATCTTCCTTTCATACCATATCATCTATCTCCATTTCATATCATCACATCTATCTATCTATCTATCTATCTCATCCACTCTATCTGTCTATCTATCTATCTATCTATCTCCTTTCAGATCTATCTATCTATCTATCTATCTATCTATCTCCTTTTCTCATTCTATCTATCTATCTATCTATCATCTCCCTTTCATATCTTTCTATCATTTAAATATCATTCATCTATCTATCTCCTTTTCATATCTCATCTATCATTCATTCGTTGTTCTATCTATCTATCTCCTTTCACATTCATCTATCTATCTATCTCCTTTTCTATATCTATTCATCTATCTATCTATCTCCCTTTCATATCCATCTATCCATCTATCTATCTCCTTTCATATCTATCTATCTATCTATCTTTCTCCTTTCTCATCTTTTATCTATCTCCTTTTCATATCTATCTATCATTGATCTCCTTTCATATCTATCTATTCTATCTCCTTTTCATATCTCTATCTCTCCCTTCTACCTATCTATCTATCTCTATCTACTTTTCATATCTATCTATCTATCTATCTATCTATCCATCTATCTTTTTGGTCTATCTATCTCCTTTCAAATCTATCTATCTATCAATCTATCTATCTATTTATCTATCTATCTTTTCATATCTATCTATCTATCTCTTTCATATCTATCTACTATCTATCTATCTCCTTTTCATTAAACAAGATCTAAGAACTATGCCAAATAAGGGAACAGAAATAGGAAGATTCAAACTTGTGTTTTACTTGTAATAAATTAAAGTTGGTTAGCATTTCATTTTAGCTGAATCTAATCAATTTGAGTATTACTATAAAAAGCCGTTTGCCATAAAAAAGACTTTCAAATAAATCTCCTGACTCATAATGCGTACACTTCTTTAGCAATTGGAAGCCCCCCCCGCAACAAAAAGCTTCCCACAGTTCCCCATTAGCCCTTTCCTCAAGAGTCAATGTTTAAATTAAACCAATTTGCCCTACAAAATATATCCTCAAAAAAGTGGATAGCTGCCCTTTTTGTTCTTCCTTTTCCTCTGATTCCCAGCATAACAAGATGTGCACTCGTGACGTCACCAAACAAAAGTCGTTACTTAGTTACCGTTATATCCATTAAAATACCACTGACTGTCCGGCTTCAAATCAAATACTTTAATGGCTTTTAACTACCTTGGTGTATCTTGGATTTTACTAGTACACCAATGAATATGAAGATAAAAACAAGAAACAATCATAACATAACATGTGCCAAAAATGTGTTAACATCTTTTGGTGATGAATTTTGAAATGCATTTTCATTTTTATAATTTTTACACAACAAAAAAAAATAATGATCTACTGTTTTCAGTTCTCTAATTTTATATTTTCAAAAGTCAGATTGGCTTTTACTTTGTAACAAATAACCTATTCAAAATTAAAATTTGCAGAATGTTCTGTAAAATGACATTTTGATTACGATTTGCATAGCATCTGTTCCCTTTATTACTCTACCATTTTTTTTACCTATTCTATGATGCTGGATGTGACATGCATGTGTTTTTAATTATTCCTGACTTTGCAATGAGGTATTGTAAAGCCTTGACGCAAGAATACAACCTGGTTACATCAAAAGAAGTATGGATTTTTTGTCATTGGCCCACTATGTAATGTTTAACATAGGATCAGATATCCAGTATCTGTTTGGTATGTGAAAAAAGTATTATAAACAAAATGGATACATATCACTTTAGCTAAAGTTTTTATTCCAGACTCATTCTTTTTGTTATGTCTAAAATTTTTACTTTCATCTCCTTTTATCGTAAATATTAGTTATCTTTTGAGGTGGGAAATAGTCCTTGTAAGCTTAGAGAATAGAAGAGGCTCTACTTTGTTAGACAGTAAACAATGACTCAGTATTTTTGTTCTTTCTGTTGTTATTATGTTAAATCTGAAACAGATGGCACCTTTTTTGAGAATACGTTCATCTGCCCGCTTAAAATAATGACATCTGTTTATTGGAATTCTAATATTCAGTTGTTTTTTCTATTTTTCTTTTTTCAAACGGATTGTTACGGGAATAAAAAATAACAAAAAAAAAAAAATACAGATCTGGCCAGGGAGTTAAAAAAAGAAAAGAAAAAGACGGACATTGAAGAGTTAGAAAAAGATTGTTCTATAAGTGATTCCTGTTTATCGCAAAGTTTATGTGAGTTTATTACTTTCTATGAATTTTATTTTTTCTTAAATCTATTCATTAATCTGCCAAATGAAGTTCCCTAGCAGACGAGGATGGATAATAACAGTCTCTCTCTCTGTTAGCTAGCTACCTACCTTCATCTATGATTATATGATTATCTATCTAAAGCTGTTTGAATCTCAACTCAAAGAAAGAATGAATGAAAGGAAAAATGTTCTTCCGACTCCCAAATAAATAAAGACAAAAAAAAACACCAAGTGATTTTTTAAAAAAAGACATACAGGCAAACAAATCGGTCGGATTCAAACAGTTGTTCTTCGACCGGAGAAGAAGTCTCTTTATCGGGTTTCTGATAATCCGGTTTGGTTTATTTTATATACATTTAACACCCGCTCTAATTTGGGACCAGAGAAAATTTCTCTATCCGGGTTTCTCTTATATCCGGGTTCCTTTGTTGTCCGATTTTTCACTGTAGAATAAAATTTTCGGCTCAAATTCATGTTTACAACTTTTCTTTACGTATTTAAAAATCCTGAAAAACAATTTAACAATTCCATCTGCTTCCCACGCACCATACAAGCATCCACATTCCATTTCTCAAATCTTATTTTGGACCCTGACATTTCCATTCTGCGTTTGTGTTTTATCAGAAAGAAAAAATCTCTTTTACCTTGTTCCATGTTCAATAAATTTAAACTTTAATATAACAATACTGACAAGTTTATAGAAGACGTTTAATTTAATATCAAGAATGTTTTTTGATTCTGTTGATCTTTCTCTCTGACTTTCTCTATCTCTCACACAATAAATTTAATATTATAATATATATATATAATGGTGGATAACTATATGGAAAGGATCTTTATTGCGTTAGCATGAAACTGTTTTAGAGAAATAGTAAATTAAAGACTATCCAACAGCATTATTGAACTTCTCAAATGTGGTGTTAACAAAATTCATGCTTTTACACCTAATGTGATTTTTTAAGCGTAATTTATGCAACCTGATTACAAAAGTATAGAGCCACTCAGTGTGTTTTCGTTTTCAATTCTTTCAGTTGTTGAGTGTTCTGGCTTTATTAAACATTGTATATTTTAAAAAACCCCCAGATGCTATGTAAATCCATTGTCATTTTATATTCAGGAAAAACCAATATGAACGACATAAAAAAAAAATTATTATTATTCGTTTAAATTGTCTTTTTCTTTAAGATTAATAAAATGTCTTTCTTTTGTTGTTTATTTTCCTTCATTTTCGATGCAATTTGTGAATGCAACTTTATGACTTTCCCCTTTTCTTCAATATTATTGCTTTTTTCTTTTTCTCATTTGTAATTTTGTCTCGTCTAAACTAAAATATTTTGCCTCCTGTTCATTTTCAAATATTTTCATTGTGCAATTCTCTGAAAATAAAACTTTACGATTTTTTTCTCTTCAGTTTCATCAACAACTTAATGGGTCATATATTTATTTCTCTCTTTAAGACGCAACAAAATATCATCTTATATTGGTTTCAACATTTGTTATTTTTTTTTCAGAATGTCTGTTTGGCAAATTTGGTTATGAATGTCAAGAGACATGTCATTGTGCTGACAATTCCAAATGTAATAAAAGAGACGGCGATGTCTGATGGAAAATGAACATGGATAAAAGGATAAATGCCAAACGTAAGGAATTTAAATTTTTT